CTCTCCCTCCACGCCTCCCTCCCTCCCTGCCAAGATTCGGAACCTCCTGGATCCCGAGAGCCTTATTTGATCCCTCATTGGGAAAAAAAATGGATTCCAGGCTTCTGCCGGGGATGCATTTCTGCAAAAATCTCTTCGCTGCAGCCTTGTGCGCCTTGGTCCTGCTGCCGGAGCCGGGCTGTGCCAGGGCTCTGTGGAAACGCGCTCTGCTGAAAATGACCGAGAAATACGATGTGAGTAAGGCCGGGGGGATTTGGGGGGAGATGGGGGATTTTTTTCCTACGCCCGTGTAGCGTTTTGGGGTAAAGGAGTGTTTGGGATCGTCGGGCTGCCTCGGGATAAAAGGGATTGGCGAAGTTTTCCCAGGCTGCGCGGAACTTTTGCCACCTAGCTGCTGCCGGGGGAAGCTTGGGAAGGGATCTGGGAGCAGGGAGAGGGTTTTGGGAGGGTTTTGGGAYGGYACCGGYACCYTGGGAACTCCCCAGGGCAGCGGGGRAAYGGGGGGATGCAATCCCTGCAGGTCCAGGGATGGGTTTAGTGGGAAGAAAATAATRGGATTTATCGCTTAGGGCGGGGAGAGCTCCCTGCCCGGCTSCTGTGCTGCCTTTTGGGGTAATTTYGGGTAAATGCGTCCAYCTCCCRGAGATAAGATGCGCTGGAGGGATGGATGGGGGCAGTGCYCGCCGTTCTGTAAATCCCCTGTGCCCATCACCTTGAAGGGTGGCGACCCGACAAATCCATTCCCGTGGATGGCACATCCCCTKGGAGCAGAGCTGCTGCCCACGCCCTGGCACACACTCGGTGGCACCATCTGTGCCTGATTTTTGGCAGATTTCAGCCTTCACAGCSCTCCCAAAGCCAGCACCCGGCTGGAACTGCGGCAGCGACAAGTGACGGGCAGGGGAGGGGACAGTGCAGGCTCCTGTCCTGGTRGGGCTGGGCCAAAAGAGGTGGCCATGGAGGAAATGCAAACGGAAAAAATTGGAAAATTATTTGATAGCTTGGCTTTTAGCACCCGCTGTTTAAAATGAAAAAAAAGGTGTAAATTTGATTTTTTTCTGAATCGGTTAAGGTCCTCTCAGACCCCAGCACTGACTCGCTGTTTAAAAGAAAAAAAAAAAAAAAAGGTGTAAATTTGAATTTTTTACTGAATCCATTGAAGTCCCCTCAGACCCCAGCACTGACCCGCTGTTTAAAAGGAAAAAAAAAGGTGCAAATTTGAATTTTTTACTGAATCCATTGAAGTCCCCTCAGACCCCAGCACTGACCCATTCTACCCCCTGAACTGGAAGCCCTCACCAGTTTATTTTCTCATGCTCTGTTCTGATTGCACCTTCCAGATATTACGTGTGCATGAACAGCACCTTGGTGCCACATGCGGATTCCTCCATCTGTTTTCTGCAGCTTTTAATCCAAAAAAGGGGGGTTTTTATGCCCGTGACTTTGACAGTGATGTTTGTGCATGGCTGCRTTTGGTTTGTGCAATTACTGACTCAGAATTGTGACACACATCCCTTGGCCCTGATGAGTGAGCCGAAATGTTGTCTTTTCTCCTCAAAATGTTGCAGGAAACATTGTGCACATATTTGAAAGGATTTTGGAAGAAATTTTCTTCATTACAGCCTCACTCAGGACAGGGAATCCTCTGCTTTGTATTTTAATAGGAAAATGATGATATAAAGAACTGCATTTCCTGCAAAATCCCTCACTGGGAAATGCATTTATTCCTATATTCTCCTGCCATATCTCAAAGTGAAGCTCAGATTTAACAGGAGCCGTGAGGTGAATGACCCAGAGAGACAGGGCAGGGGCAGAACAGGAATTTACACGTTGATCCTCAGATAAGGAGCGCTGCCGAGGCACAGAGCCGGCTCCCCCGAGGATATTTCCTCTCCTCTCACCCTGCTCTTCTTCAAAGGGCTGTTTTTCCTGGCAGCCCCGGATCCAGGTGCTACCGACCTGGCGAGCTCAGCTGGGATTGCTCGAATTGACAGAAACATCGATCCAGGGAAAATAGAAAATGCTTTTCCTTCTCCTCAAAGCCCTGTCAGGRGGAAAGCGCTCACTCTCCATCCCCTTCTCCACCAGGAGCTGTTCTGGCAGCCCCTCTGATTTCTCAGAGAGATGTTTTCCTTCCTGCCAAAATCAGGGAAATCAGAGTCTGGGGGCAGAGCAGCGGATTTTTCCTGCCAAAATCAGGGAAATCAGAGCAGCGGATTTGTGAGGCACTGGGATGGAGGGATGGCAGATGGAGGTGCCTGTGACAGCCACAGGGGACAGGGGACACGGCCACCCCCCTGGGACCCCTCAAAAGACAGGGTTAGGCAGCTCAGGGAAGTTTGTGTGAGCTGAGCCCAGAAAATCTGAGGCTACAGCAGCAGGAGCATCCAGAAAATGCTGAGTGCAGAATGACAAGCAGGGGTGAGGATGAGGAGCTGGCTCAGGGTCCTGCCAGGGGGTTTATTCAGGTGCTTGAGGAAGGTGTTGGTGGGCAAGGAGGGGTCAGATGGGGATGGGGAAGGGACAAAGAGGGATTGCAGCGAGGAGAGAACCTGGCGGTGACATTTAAAGCTGGGCTTCCAGCTTTAACAAATCCCTGTGGTTTACAGCCACAGGCGCTCTCRTCCAGCAAATTTAGCAATTCACAGCTGGTGTTCTGCAGGGACTGCTCCCAAAGGGCAGAGGGAGGGAGCAAAGTGGGACTGGGCTCCAGTTCCTCATAAAAACACCCCTCATGTCTGTGGGGAAAACTGGGCCAGGCTGGGTTTCATTCCACTGTCCACTGCAGCAAATATTTCAGAAAAATCACAGCTTCTTTTAAAGATTTCCAGAAGTGAAGAATTCCCCTCAGCTGCTGTAATGCTCTTCATTCACCCTGCAGCCAGAAATCAGCCCTGGGGTGCCCTCCTGGTGGACAGGATATTCCTGCTCCWCATCCACCTCAGCCTCCCCCTCAGAACCTGCACACACACAAATCTTGCTCTGTATTCCCCGTTTTCCAACCTTTTAATCATTATTGTGCATCTTTTTGGAGCCCTCCCTCAYCCTGCAGCATCCTTCCAGCTGCAAACAGCACAAACCCGGAGCCAACAGCAGGAAAATGTTATTCCCAAAGTATTATTCCCAAAATATTGTTCCCATTGATTTGGTCTCATCCTTTAGATCGTTTAACCYGCCTTCAGTCTGATTTTTGCCACTYTGATCACCACTGATGTGTGATTTTCCAGGTCTTGAGGATTCTGAATTCCTCCTGTGTATTTTTTTGTCAAAGGAGAGGTGGTTTATGGCCAGTTTTTGGGAGTACCTGCCAGGGCCAGAGCTGGAGGCTGAAATAAACCTCATGTGTTAAATCAAGGSGCTCCATGCAGAATAAAAATGATCAGAGAAACAGCTCAGGGAGCAGCTGCAGGCACAAATAACAGGACAGATCTGGGATTTTGGGAAGGCAAACGGCATCCCTCAGCTGGTCTTGAAATCTTGGGTGAGACTCAGTGATTCCATTCAGCTTTTTCCCCATCTTTGTTGACTGCCAGGGCTCCTCAGCTGAACCCGGAACTTTTCCCCTTGCTTTGTTTCTGGATATCTCTAAGGCAGATGTTGTCATTAAATGATTTAATATGTCTCCCTGGCATTGAAAAATCTTCTTAAAGGAAGAAATTCTCACTGTCTTCACACTCTGTAAAAATAATAAATCAGAGCCAAGCTGTGAACTTTGGGAAAGCTTTTAAAAAAACCTTACAACCCAACCCTGGGGACATCCTTAACCAGGTTATTCTGGGGAATGAGGGRATCCTGTTTCCCACTGGGGTGGTTTGTGCACACATAAACAATGGTTTTATTACACCAAATAAGCAGAATATTCTTATTTTGAAAGAAACAGGGTTCTGAGCAATAGGTGACCAGAGAAAATGGGCAGGGAGGTCACGAGGTACAAAGTTATTTGGCCACAACTGTTTTATTGTTCCCCAACGGAAACTTCATTCACAGAGMCAGCTGTTGGTTGCAATTTTGGCCTCTCGGTTTCTGAATCATCAGTGAAGCAACTGCAGGAATTGTCTGGTGTTTTTTTTTCATGGATCCATTAGCTGCCAGTTTTATTTTGGCCCTGTTTCCACCTGCAGATGACCTTTCAAATGGAATAGTAAACTGTGACCTTCCAGGATGAGCACTCCCTCCAACAAGGAGCGTTCCAACTCCTCCTGCTCAGTGCTTGGAACTGCACTGATTTACTGTTCAGTGCTCCCTCATATCCCAAAATTAYACCTGCTCTGAGAATTTTCTCTATTTAAAATCTACAACACCGCCCAAAAAAAGGTGTAGTTTCAGTATTTTCAATTTTAAAACGTTTCAAATTGGGGGTGTTTGCAGCTTTTGAGGAGTGGACTGATATGAGAGCTTGCACCTCGAGCATGGAAACATCACCAAAATCAGGTTCTTCCAAATGTTTTTTCTCCTTGGCCAGTTTTTGGGAGAATCCATGTGGGACCAGGCTGTTGTCAAAGGCACGGAGCCTTTGGGGGTTCAGCAATAAGGATGGAGCAGGATGTGGTTACAGAGRGATGTCCACCTCAGCTCCAATTTCYCCATAGCYTGGTGGTGAAACTTCCTACWGTCCCCTGGGGCACAGTTGCACCATGKTTTTTCTTGGAATTACAGCCCCAGTTTCTCATCACTGATTTGGTAACACAGCAGTGATTGGGCCAAGTGGATATTTATGTATTTATATATCTATACATTTGTATATTTATATTTTATATAGTTGTATATTTATATATTTATGTTTTTATTTTTTATATATTTCTATCTTTATTTATATTTTAATATATTTATTTAGATATTTATTTGTATATTATGTATTTTATAATATATTCATATTCTATATTTTTACATATTATATTATATAGATATAGATATAGATATAGATATAGATATAGATATAGATATAGATATAGATATAGATATAGATATAGATATAGATAGATATATATAGATATATATAGATATATATAGATATATAGATATATTTTTAAATACACTTATGGCTCTTACCTCTGCTTACGAGGCCATGGCAGTGCTCATTGCACATCTCTGACTCAATGTTGATCTCTTTTTAAAGTGCAAATCAGGAATCCATATTTTGCCTTTATTAGGGCCTATAAATGTTCCTGGTAAAACCCCTGTGCCTGTTCACCCCCTTGGCATCTCCCTTGTCCTGTCAGTGTGCAGGGAGCAGCTCAGCTCCTTTCTGCTGCAGCCAAACACRGCCTCATTGTCTTTGGGATGAAGCTGTCACGGCCCTCAGATCCTACCCAGATCATCCCATGTTTGAGAAATTATGTCCAATTTAACAACCCAGAGCTCCACAGGGAAAGGTTTCCCTGTAAATTCTGGTCCAGGAGAAGGTGATGGAGGTAGAAGGAGCCCACTGAGGAGAAAGGTGCTACCAGGGACATTTGTTCCACATCCCAAAACAGCACAATGCCACCATTTCCACTGCCTCCCTACTGAAGTGTTCCCCCATCCTCATCATCAGGGTGCCTGGAACTTCTCATTTCCCAGACACTTTAAAGGATTTTTTTTTTTTAACCTCCTGATTTAAAATCTTAATTATAAAACAAGTTCCACATGATAATTTAGAGATTATTGGGTGTTTCCAAAGTAGTGTGAGGGGATCACACAGTGCTGGGGGAGCCGCACAGTTCATTCTGAACATAAGAAAACCACTCTGAAACCCCTTTTCTCCTACAGCTGCGGGATGTTCGGTGCTCACCTTACCCCAAACCTGACTTGCTTTTCTTCTCTTTGCAAGGATTATGAGTACCCTCTTCATTCTCACAGCTCCCACTACCCCAAGAGCGACCGGTGCCCGCCGCCGCCGCAGAGCCTGCCCGAGCGCGCCTGCGAGGTGCCCAGCTGCCGCTCCGACTCCGAGTGCGAGCGCCACAAACGCTGCTGCTACAACGGCTGCATCTACGCCTGCCTCGAGTCCGTGCAGCCCCCGCCAGGTACGGGCACCAGGGCAGGGTGGGAGGGAGGGAAATGTGCAGGGATTTGGGGGAGTGGTGGTCATCCCGTGTGCGCCATGGAGCAGTCACTCTATGGTCATATTGTGTGCGCCGTGGCGTGGTCATCCTGTGTGCTGTGGTGTGGTCACTTTGTGTGCCGTGGTGGGGTCACTCTGTGTGTGCCATGGTGGGGTCACTCTGTGTGTGCCATGGTGGGGTCACCCTGTGGTCACCATGGTGTGGTCACCCTGTGTGTGCCATGGTGTGGTCACCCTGTGTGCCGTGGTGTGGTCACCCTGTGGTCACCATGGTGTGGTCACCCTGTGTGCTGTGGCGTGGTCACTCTGTGTGTGCCATGGTGTGGTCACCCTGTGTGCTGTGGTGTGGTCACTCTGTGTGTGCCATGGTGGGGTCACCCTGTGGTCACCATGGTGTGGTCACCCTGTGTGTGCCATGGTGTGGTCACCCTGTGTGCCGTGGTGTGGTCACCCTGTGGTCACCATGGTGTGGTCACCCTGTGTGCTGTGCCGTGGTCACTCTGTGTGCCGTGGCGTGGTCACTCTGTGTGTGCCATGGTGTGGTCATCCCATGTGCACTGTGGTGTGGTCACCCTGTGGTCATCCCGTGTGCATCATGGCATGGTCACCCCATGTGCACCGTGGTTGACCAACCCGTGTGTGCCATGGCTTGGTCACGCCGTGGTCATCCGGTGTGCACCATGGAGTGGTCACCCTGTGTGCCATAGCATGGTCACCCCATGTGCACTATGGCATGATCATCCCATGTGTGCAGTGGCGTGGTCACCCTGTGGTCATCTCGTGCTCATCCCGTGTGCACCATGGAGTGGTCACCCTGTGGTCACCCTGTGTGCCATGGCATGGTCACCCCATGTGCACTATGGCATGATCATCCCATGTGCACAGTGGTGTGGTCACCCCATGCTCATCCCGTGTGCACCATGGAGTGGTCACCCATGGTCACCCCGAGTGCATGGCGTGGTCACCCCATGGTCACCCCATGTGTGTTGTGACATGGTCACCCCATGACCCCCAGTTCACCGGGGCTGGGGTGGGAGGTTTGGGTGACCATTGGGGTTGGGGTTCAGTGCCTCACTTMTGGGTTCTGTGGGGTTGAGGGGTTAAAAGGGTGTCTGAGGCTCACTGGTGTTGGGAAATTTCCGCCCGGTAAAATTGTGGGAGTCACTCATGGCCAGTTCTTTCCTTGGGATGGCGTTTTCTGTGTCCCTGGATCCCTGGGAGTGTCCAAGGCCAGGTTGGATGAGTCTTGGAGCAGTCCCATTTAGAGAAAAGTGTTCCTGCTCATGGCTGGGAGTTGGAATGAGATGATTTTTAAGATCCTTTCCAACCCAAACCTCCAAACCTTTCGGTGATCCTACATTTCTAAATTCAGGAAAAGAAGCAATCCCAGTGTGAATCAGTGCTGACAGGAGTGAGGCAGACACCTCAGTAGATCCCATGGGAATGGGGAACAGCAGATGTTTGGCCTTTACGACCCCAGATCCTTGTGGCCCTGGGTGACTTCCATGGCTCCCTTGCCACTGGGACAATGAGAGCACGAACAGAAATCAAAATCAGCTCCCTCCACCAGGCCTCCTCACAGACCCTTAGAGAAAATCCATGACTTCCCCATAGCTCTGTGCCCTGTGGCTGCTCCATCCTCTGTTTCTGGTCTCTCATTTCTGTCTCTGCAGTCTTGGACTGGCTGGTTCAGCCCAAACCCCGCTGGTTGGGAGGCAACGGGTGGCTCTTGGAYGGCCCTGAGGAAGTCTTACAAGGTACAGGACATTTTTCTGTCTCCTCTTCAACGTCCATCATCATAAAAAGGCTATTTAAATAATATTTTATCATTTAAATAATAATTTGATAAATCCCTCGTACACAGAGCTTGTCTGGGATGTTGGGTATTTGTGTGGAGTTTCCATAGGAATAACTCTGTGTGGTTCTGTGTTCTGGCACAGTAAATAAATGACTTTTTATGGGTACAGATTATCCAGCAGAGCACCAGGAATGCTGCAGGGAGCTGGGCTTGTACTCATTTTTCAAATAATTGGAGATATATCTTTGTTTTAGGAGAATCCTCTGTCGTCATACCCATATTTTCTGGCAGCTTCCTGATAGGCTGTGGGTGGATTTGGGATGGGAAATACTTGAATCCAGAGTGGCCTCGTCACCCAACTGCCCTGGGTGGGGACTGGGGCTCCTGGATCTGAAGGGTGCTTTGAGCAGATTTGGAGCATCAAAATTTGGAGGCTGATAAAGAGATTAAGCTTCTCAGGTTAATTCCTGAGGATTTTAATTAATTTTTTTTCCAATAGAACTGAAATAAGCAGGGAGTGGGGAGGTGGGAAGAGAAGTTTTCTTCTGTGAGACGTTCCCAGATGTACGGACACCTGAAATTCTTGAGTTTTTCGTGGAAATGTTAACCCAGCTTTTGATCAGCTTCAGTCAGAGTCAGGTGGTGCCAATAAATTCCCCACTCTGGTCTCACACAGATGGTGTCAGACTCACCGAGCCTCTGCTCTCATTTATTATGGAAACTCCGAGTTCTTGAAGGGAAAATTGTGCCTCCAGCTCACTGGAGCTGCACAGCCAGAAATGAGATCAAACTGGTTCCTCCTCATCCGTCCTTGTCGCGCTGATATGATTTGTTCTGATCTGAACACCTCCATCTCAGCTCSAGGGAGCAATTAGGGAAATCAGAGCCATCAGTCATGGTGTGAGAATTGCAGCAGAGAGCCTTGGAATTAAAATCCTACAAATGAGAGGGTGCAGTGGCCCTGCAAAGTCTGTGCCTTCAATGGCCCCAAACTCGGCCTGAGTCCTGCTTTACCTTCCCTTTTTGTGCTGTAGTTGCTGCTTGTCCCAGCTCAGAGAGATGAATCCTCTGTTTGGGACAGGGGTGGAACTGCCTGGCCCCGCCGTGGGTCACACCTGGGTTTGGGGTCAGCAGCAGCACTGCCAGCTCCCTGCTCACCATCCCAAACCCCTCAGCCAGCCCAGAGCCCTGGCTGGGACATCCTGGAGGGAATGAATCCATAGAGGGGTCACCTGCTGGACGGGGTGGGCTGGAGGGGTCAGCTCTGGCCAGGATGCTCCAGAGGGGTCAGCTCTGGGTGAGGTGTGAATACAGAGGGGATGGGAATGGGATCACCTGTCCATGCAGGATGGTCTGGAGTGGTCAGTTCTGGGTGAGGTGTGAGCAAAGTCACCCATCCATCCAGGACAGTCCAGAGTGATCAGTTCTGGCCGGGACAGTCCAGAGTGGTCAGCTCTGAGTGAGGTGTGAATGGGGTCACCCATCCATCCAGGACAGTCCAGAGGGGTCAGTTCTGGCCAGGATGATCCAGAGGGGTCAGCTCTGGGTGAGGTGTGAATGGGGTCACCCATCCATCCAGGACGGTCTGGAGGGGTCAGTTCTGTGTGAGGTGTGAACAGGGTCACCTGTCCACCCAGGATGGTGTGGAGGAGCTGAGTGAGGTGTAAATGGGGTCACCCATCCATCCAGGACAGTCCAGAGGGGTCAGTTCTGGCCAGGACAGTCCAGAGTGGTCAGCTCTGGGTGAGGTGTGGGCAGGGTCACCCATCCATCCAGGACAATTGGGAGGGGTCAGTTCTGGCCAGGATGCTCCAGAGGGGTCAGCTCTGGGTGAGATGTGAGCAGGGTCACCCATCCATCCAGGACAGTCCAGAGGGGTCATTTCTGTGTGAGATGTGAGCAGGGTCACTCATCCACCCAGGACAGTCCAGAGGGGTCAGTTCTGGCCAGGTCAGTCCGGAGGGTTCAGTCCATGCCACCCCCGATGGGAAGCACCCTGGGACGAGATGCAGGACCAGGACCCGTGKGTCCCTTTTGTCCCCCGTGGGTGTGACACGGGCACTCTGTGACCCCCCTGTCCCTTGCAGCCGAGGCGTGCAGCACCACGGAGGATGGGGACGAACCCCTGCACTGCCCCACGGGCTACGAGTGCCACATCATCAACCCAGGGAACACCGCCGAGGGCATCCCCAACCGCGGCCAGTGCATCAAACTCCGCGGAAACCCAGGTCAGTGCTCCTCCTCCTCATCTCCCTGGTGACACAAACACAGGGATGGCACCGGGACATCAGCGCTGTCCCCTGGTGGTGCCAGCAGCAGCGTGAAAATTTGAATTATTTATCTGTTACTGAGTTTTGGATTCTGGTTTTGCCTCCTGACTTTGCTTTCTGCATCCAAAGCTTTGTTCTCCTTATTCTGCTGACATGTTTGCCCAAAAAAAAAAAAAGAATTTTATCCAGGCCAAGGTATTTTCCAGGAAAGCTCATAGCATGTTTGGGTATTCACTGAATAGTACAATGTGTGCATTGGCACTGGGCTACAAATCAAGAGAGATCAAAATCCATTTTGCCGTTTGGGCACTATAAAAACCAGAGGAAGCACCAAACCAGATCTCTGAGCTGTTTCCACGACAAATTAAGAGGTTTTTTCCAGAGCTTTTGGATCATCTCTTGTGTAAATTTTTCTTTATAACATCCACAGCACCCAATGCAGTGTAGAACTGTGGGGGTCTTCGACATGAAGTATTTCTGAGAGCTGAAATAACTACATAAATGGCAAACAGAGCAGCCTAGCTGGAACCTGAATTGTGTCAAATACTCACAGAAGGCCTGAAATGTTACCCAAATTTTATTTCATTTGGTTTGTAGCTACTGAAGAGATCATAACCTGCTCTTAAGGAAAGTTTATGCCCACAGAGCTCAGAAATTTCAGCAGTTTGAGGTTTACAGCAGCCCAAATCACTTCAGCCCAGAGACCTTTCATTTTGCTCCTTGTGAGATTTTTATCTTGCTCATTGTGAGATTTTTATCTCCAAATCTCCAATTTCTCAGTGTTGTACAGAAGGGCAGAGTCTAACACAGAAAATGAAGGCTGCCTGGGTGTTTTCTCACCTTCTTTTTAACTTTTTTTTCCAGATGGACACAACCTGAGGCATAAGTATTACAAGGAATATTTTGGTAAGCTGCTGSCATGGAGTGGTTGTTATTTTTAAGCTTTATGGTTCTTGCAGTGCTTACAAGGAATTTGCTCCTTATTAGATGAAGGTTTGTACGCAGAAAAAAAAGAGATTTTTTTAGCCTCAACTCTCTGTGCTTTGGTCATGATTTTATTTTGAGATCTGCAATGTCCTGACTGTGAGAATCAGAATTTTCRGCTGTGACAGAGTGAGTTAAACGGTGCAGCTTTCTGCCAGGGGAACCACCCAACCCAATAATCCTTTGTTATTTTTAAGCATATTTTTGGAGCGTTGCTCTTGGCCCAGCACTCYGTGCAGCTGAGCACAGAGCTCTGTCAAAAGCAGGGTTTTGTGCYGTGGTGAGAAATCAGGGATGGCTGGAGCCTGGTGAATCCATCCCTGGGTCTCAAAGAAAGCAGGAGCATCTCCCAGATTTTTCCTCAGAACTTCAGAGCTCCTGGTTGCTCCCTCTGGGTGTGGGACAGGCTGGAAATGACATTTGGATATCACTAAACAGCATCTTTGATACGATAAAATCCACAAAAAGCCAAATTTGGCCAGTTTGGCTGATAAAACTATGAAATATTTCCTTTCCTCTATTCCAGTGTGAACCACCCCAGAGAGCTGCTCAATAATTAGACCAATAAAACTGTGCTGCTGGGAGAACATGGAGACAAATTTGCCTCAACCTGAGCTAAAAACTTCCTTTGCTGCTGTTTGTTTTACAGGGAGCAATTCCAACAACGTGGTTGGCTATGTGAAAAACCAGCAGAAGCATTTGGGCTAATTGAAGGTGTGCCTGGGTGAGTGCCCTGTGAGCAAAGGGTGGAAATAGCTGCTGCTCAGAATGCAATTATTGTGAGAAATTRTTATCTGAGGGTGGTATTTCCTCTGAGCACAACTCTGCTGGGAGGACAGCACCTTAAAATTCAGTACAGGTGCACGAAACACTCTCATTCAAAGACTGATTTCTTTGAAAAGGCTTTGCCTTGTGGGTATTTAGAGGATGGAGGGATTTTTAGAATGAAAAAAATTAATGCTGCAGAACTTGGTGTGCATTAAGACATTCAACTTTGTGTTTTTCCTAATGCAGGTGTAAGTGGTCCTGCCAGACAAATTAAAAAGCTGTTTATTCTGGCCTGACTGCAAAAAGGGTCAGTCTTGCAAACGTTTCAGCACATGGGGGATTTTGTGGGGTGATTTGAACTGTGTGAGCAGTTGTGCTGAGCACAAGGCACACAGACCTGACCAGAGCTGAGCCCATGGCAAAAGCTCCAAAATTTTTATCAGCCTTGCATTGGGCAAGAATGGAAATGTTTATTACATTACCAAAGGTTTTGTCCCAAGATGGTTTTCTCAACACTTTCAGCTTCACTCTAAGATTAACTCAAGCTCAGCTGAGAGTTGGGAAAATAAAGCAGCTCAGTGTCTTCCTGTAGCCACGTCAGGCTGGCTGTTAAGATTACTCAGCTACTTAAAACAAGTTCTGTGCAAACATCCCAGGAAGGATAAATATTTTAATTCCTTTTTTTTTTTTTTTTATATTCCTTTTGTTTGGTTTTCTCTCAGCTGGACCACTCTGTCAAGGAATGCTTTACCCAGCAGCTTTCTCTTCTGGAAGAACTCAGATCTCCACCAGCACATCTCCAGCATCCCCTGATCCCTGCATTTCACTGACAAAAAAAACCATCCAAGAACAGGATGAGTCCAGATTGAACCCTGCCAGGAAGGGCAGAAATGTGATCCCCTGGAGGAAACCACATTATTTCAAGCTAAATTCATCAGCTGCCCTTCCACAAGGGAAATACAAACACCTCCAGGGCATCCCTGTGAGCCCCAGGGCTGCTGGCACAGAGCCTGCCTTTTTTCTTTTTTTTTTTTTTTTATGAGCTTCTTGTGTGACAAATTCGGATTTCAGGCCTGTGAACACAACTCAATGTTACTGAAGTGATGTCAGAATTCTGCCTAAATGTCATATCTGAGTTTTTTTTTTAAATAGGTGAGCCTCGAGAGGTTCTCTGGATCACATCCAGTRCCTGCCTCACTTGAACAACCACTTTAAAGCAGCCTTTTCAAAAGTTTAAAATTCACAGCAACCTGCAATTTTCTTCTTTTCCTGTTTATATCCAGATTTCAGCAGGTTTGACACCCGCTCTAAATGCCTAAACCCGAAGCCTTAAGAATTTGAGGAAATCTAAGCTAGGAGCAAAACCAGTTTTATGAATATTTTTAAAAGATTATTTCCCTTAATTCCTCAGGCTGGTGAGCTGCAGATTGAGAGTTAACAATGGAACAGATTCCTTGCCACAATATCCAGGCAGACACACCAATGCATGCCAGGCTTTGTAAGGTGCTGGTTTTAGCACAGTTATACTCACAAAATCTATGGTTTTGCACTGTGAAACCTCACCAAGAGGGCTCAAGTCTGGGTAATTTGTTAAATGTGTTAGAAAAGCAAACCCGGGATAAATTTGTGTGAGGAAAAGGGTTGTGTGGTAGGTGGGCCACTGCTCCTCAGAAGTTCTGTACCTTTGTGTTGATTTCCAGAAATCCTTAAGCTCTGGTTTATTTGCATTTGTGCCTCACAGCTTCTTTTTTTTGTTCAGCATTATACACCAGAAAACACATTTTCTATGAACATTTTCCTTTCCTGTGGCAGCCCTGCATGGACAGCTGCATTTATTGAACATTAAATCAGCATTTTAATTTGCACAGCTCTGCACATAAACACCCAACTCCCAAATCCAGGTGCCTGACTCCACTCACAAAACACAAGATTTTTTTTTTAAAAATTGATTTTATTTTTATATTTATATTTATATTTTTATTTTTATTTTTATTTTTATTTTTATTCTTATTTTTATTTTTATTTTTATTTTTATTTTTATTTTTGGTTTTATTTTGAAGATTTTGATTTTGATTTTGTTTTTATTTTTAATATTTTTTTTATTTTTATTATTTTTACTTTTATTTTTATTTTTATTTTTATTTTTATTTTTATTTTTATTTTTATTTTTTGTTTTATTTTATTTTTTTCCACTCACTCAAGGGTTTAAGCCAAACCCTGTAAAACCCTTGATATTTCACCCATGCCATTTGCAGCTGGAGAGGTGGCAGATGCCAAACTGCTCTCCTGTTTCCTGCTCCAAACACAGGCCCTGGTGCTTTATAAAGGAACAGCTGAAGGGCTCCACATTTTCCTAAATTTCTTCATCTCCTGAACTCACTTTTCCATGCCTTTTTGCAAAGTGCAAGATATCAAATGCAACACCAYGTTTGGACAGAGCTATTTCTAGAATTTTGACCCTACAATGAGATTTTAATTCTTGCTCAGACACAGGAGCCCCAGAACCAGAGAATTGTGGAATGGTTTGGAGTGGGAGGGAGCTTAAAGCTCATCACCTTCCACCAGACCAGTCTGTCCCAGCTCCCATTTATATTTTATAGTTCCAGTCTCTGTTTAAATCAAAAACTTCCTATTTGTGCTGTTCCAGCCTCTCTCCTCGGTGCTGCCCAGTGAAATGCAGTGATTTTGTCCAGCGTTACTTCCTACAGAAAAAAAAAAATAAATCAAATTGTGATTAAATGAGCAGAGCCCTTCAGTGGTCACTGCTAAGCACCAAAGAGTAAATTCCAAACTGTTCCACTTTAAACTCAAAAATTTTTAATAATTTACCTAAAACCTTGTGAGGAGCTAGCTGAAAAATTTGTGTTAAGCATTCACAAATTTGAAAGATTTAAAATTCAAATCTCAGCCTGATCTCTCAAAGCAGCCAAAATTATTCTTAATTTGAGTGGACACGTTCACTTCAGTGTCTGTTTTTTTCAGAAGTGTCTGTTTTTTGCAGAAGCATACACCTGACCACCTTGGGTGGGATGGCAGAGGCATTTTCTGCTTGGAAAAGGAATTTTTGAAAGTTGCTTTTCCGAAAAGAATCAGAAAGGAAAATGGACAAATGAATAATTGGATGATAAATTTCTGTTTACTGGGTGCAATTGAAGCCATCACCCTTCTTCTGGTGCTACAAAGCTTGGGTTTTTTTGGTTTTTTTAGTTAATTCTAGCTCTAAATTATCAAACTCAGAAACAAAAGCCACATTTGGGACTTGTCAGAGCTCAGTGTTTTCATCCCTCAGATGCTGAAATGAGAACACAGCCTGAGCAAGCTGTCCTCTCTCCAAAGACAGATGATTTATCAGCAGCCTGATAAATCACAGGTGTGGGGTTTTTTTGGGGTTTCCACAAACATTTTGGTGCTATGATGACCCTTTTTGTGTCCCTGAGCTCTGACAATGCCCACAGCCCCAAACCCTCCCTGCTTTGTGCCCCTCTGGTGCTCAGACACGTTCAGGTTCTGCTTTGGTGCTCAATAAAAAGTCACTCGTCTGTTTTACAACCCTGCCTGGTTTCTGTGGTGTCTTCTTGATGCATTTTCAGCTTTGGATTGTGAGAAAAAAAAGGAAAAATCTTCTAAATTTTAGTTGTTGGGAGAACTCAAGGCCTTGGATTATGAAAAAAAAGGCAAATCTACATTTTAGCTGTTGGGAGAACTCAAGACTTTGGATTATCAAAAAAAAAGGGCAAATCTTCTAAATTTTAGCTGCTGGGAGAACTCATTTTTGGATTACAAGAAAAAGGGCAAATCTACATTTTAGTTATTTGGAGAACTCAGATAAGGCTTCAGATTATGAGAAAAAACAAATCTTCAAAATTTTAGTTGTTGGGAGAACTCAAGATCTTGGATTATGAAAAAAAGGGCAAATCTACATTTTAGGTGTTGAGGGAACTCAGATAAGGCTTTGGATTATGAGAAAAAGGGCAAATCTTCTACATTTTAGCTGTTGGGTGAACTCAAGGCTTCATATTATGAGAAAAAGCAAATCTTCTAAATTTTAGATGTTGGGAGAACTCAAGATCTTGGATTATGAAAAAAGGTCAATTCTTCTAAATTTTAGTTGTTATTAGAACTCAAGGCTTCAGATCATGAAAAAAAAGGCAAATCTATATTTTAGTTATTGGGAGAACTCAAGGTTTAGGATTATGAAAAAAGGGCAAATATTCAACATTTTAATTGTTGTTTGAACTCAGCACAGGCACRGGGAGGCAAAAGTCACTTTGCCCACTAAAGGGAGGTGACAGACCCCAAAAAACCCCTGTCCCCTCTCAGAGGGGTCACTTTGGTGGGTCAGACCCCCAATTTTGGCCCCTGCCAATTTTTATAGACCTCACAAATATGTCTGGAACTCCCCAATAAGAAACCAAAAGCTTTCATTAAATCCTCTCTTCCTTCCCCATTACACCCCTGGGGACAGACCTGAGGGTTTTCCTCAACCTTTATGGACAAAATAGAAAAGAAATGTTGCTCTAAACGCTGTTCTTTGCTTTTATAACCAGGAGCAGTAGAAGTTCTGCCCAAGAAAATCCCAACCCCGAAGAGAAATATTTGGATTTTTGGGTAGCAACATATTCCATTCTACCCATGCAGCAGAGTTTTTTTCCCTCAAGGTGGCACAACAGGAACAAAAGTGCAACGAGCCCCGTTGTGGCAGTGCAGCAATTTTGAACTTTGAACTGAATTTTGAACAGAAAATTTTGAACTGAAAGCAGCACTCTGCCCTCACAGCAGCATCCTTTTGGGCTCAGAGAATGGCTCCTTTGCTTGTGTGTTTTCACAACAGATATTTTCTACTTAAAAGACACCAAAAAAAAAAAGGTTTTTGAAATAATCTACTTAGAAGTGGAGCTTTATTAACCAATTAAATAGGAAATACTGTAAGGGCTCTGTAATTGGGCTGCGTGTTATGGGTTTATAGTGTGAAAATGACAGAGTGAGGAAATACAGCTCGAATTACTGTTGTTTTCTTAGCATTATAGCCTTGATTCAGTTCATTCCCAGCGTTTTCTGARCCATGGGGTAGCAAAATACATTAATTTTTCATTAGGTTTCCTAACAGGCAGAAACCAACAGCAACAAGAAAATGAAACTTGAGTCCGTTCAGCAATTTCTCAGAGTGAGTGGCGAACAGAAACTTTTCTTTCTGCACTTATTCCACTTCATCAAATATAATTTTTCCACAGCAGAACTGAGGGAACATAAATATGAGAGGGAGGATGTGGTCCTGAGCCCCAACCACACTGTTCTTCCCCAGCTGTCAGGTTTTTTGGATAATAAAAACCGATTTTTAGGGTGCATTATTACGCTCATCAACTCGTTTTTCTCCTTTTCCGTGCCCTGTTTGCCCTGGAATTTCTGTCAGTGCATTGYTCCCCCTCCCTAACCCAGGGTGTGGCCTCTTGGCCGTGTGGATTCTGGATTTTTTTGTCTCTACAAGCAGGAGGTCTGTGCCAGGAGGATGAAGTTAAATAAGGAAAGCACCACCCTGATGCTCAATTAGCCACGGTGGCTAATGAGAGCCACGCTGGGGTTGCCCAGACCAYGCCATGCACAGCACAACCCCAGGATGCTCCTTGTGGGCAGCAGGGTGAGGATTTGGGGTGAAAAAAAGCAAGAAAAAAAACAGAGAAATTTTCTTCCCAGCTGCCTGCATAGGTGGAAGATGTTTCCCACCGCTTTTCTGGCAGAAACACGAGGATTTGGAGGATCCTACGACTCTGGTGGATGCAAAGGTGCTCAGGTGGGCAGGAGGAGGAGTTCCCTGGCAGGGCAGGAGCTGGATGTGCCCCAGATCCTCCGAAAAGCAGCAGAAGGAGCATAAATGAGCTCAGACAGGCTCCACCTCCGGATCCCCAAACATTTCAGGAAGATCCAAACCCCTCTGCACCTCCGGGCTGCTCCAAGCCCTTACCTAAGCCCTGGGCAGGGCCTGGGTGTGCGATTCCCGAAAATCAGAGCCCGGCATCATCCCTGGATCCTTT